TGCATTACAATTATATAGTGAACATTGCTTTCTGACTTCATTCTTTAACAACCCAACTAACAATATTTTTTTCTGTTTCAGATTCTGATGCATTTATAAGTTGATAATATTTGCGATGGCTGCTTGTGTCAGGACGAGGAACCAAAAATCCAGCCATCTCGGTCACTATCTTGGGTCTGGGAGAGAGCTCCTGAAGTCGGAGTTGCCTACATTGAGAGATGCTTTGAGATACGGTGTTTTAATCAGGCAAATCAGTGGAAAAGAACCAAAGAACTTCACAAACAAAGACATTGCTAGTATATGACCAAAGCTGTCTTGGCACAGTACACTCTGGCTAACGCTCAGTTCAAGCCTCCAGTCATAACAAGTCAGAAGAAGATTAGTGAGAGACTGCTAGCCAGTTGGGAAAAGGCAAGAGATATCTCTTTTGGGAGAGGAAAACTTGCAGTTAAGGACAGCTTTGCCAAGCAACTGGACCAGTTATTTGACATAATTACTTGCAAGTGCCCAATTGTTCTCTGTCCTGAGTTTTGATGCGATCGTGACTGTAAATCCGAGGCCCACATCTCCTGTATTTGCAAGCGTGAACTGAAGATTCCTGTGATCGAACTGGCATTTGTCAAAGCACAGAGAGAGAAGACTGGCAGTATAGGGGCTCATGATTTCTAGCCAAGATATTCCGGAGTCCAAGAGACAGGAGGCTGCCACAGAGAGACAGAAGAGGAGAAGAGTTGCCGAGGAAAAGAGACTTGAGAAGGCCCTGGGTGAGGTTAAAAAGGCCGATAATTGGAGTCAAGCTGATTCAGAGTTTAATGACTTCCCCATGGCTGATCCGAGTGCTGACCAGGAGAATGGTGACTTTGTCCCTAACCCAGAAAATAATGATCCCAAACCTTCCAGGCATAAGATTCGAAAATAGGAAAGATATCCCGAGCATAGCTCTGGCCAGCATGCGACACCACACTGGTCTCAGAGAACTGCAGAGATAGCAACAGCGCCTGGATTGACGGTGGTTTGATAACACCGATGATGTTCACCTGGTGATAGATCATAACAAAGTAAGGAGAGCTCAGGAGAAACTTGGTCAGTAACCTAGAAGAGAGGAGTTTGATAAGGATAAGAGAAAATGGAACAATTGTTTGTTCTTTTGATGGAGAAGGGATGACACTCAGTGTTCGCGAAAGTTGGAGATTCTGGACAAGTTGTTCTCTGCCATGGTGAAGGCGAGGAACACTACCCCAAGCGTGCAGTGAACCAGAGGGCGATTTGCATTTCACCCAGAGAAAGATGACATCAGGAAACCAGCTGAGATAGTGGCAGATAACATTGTGAACTGGCTCAGAGAGAGGAACGTAGACCAGACCCTGCAGGCCATTGGAGGGGACAGCACCAACACGAACACAGGTTGGCAAGGGGGGGGTCATACAGTGGATAGAGCGGAAGATTGGGAGGAAGCTGGTCTGGATTGTTTGTGACCTCCACACCAACGAGCTGCCACTCAGACATCTGATCCAGGAGCTGGATGGCAAGACTCTTTCAAACAACAGATGGTCTGGTCCTCTTGGCAAGATGCTGGACTCTGCCACTGAGTTATAAATAAATCCGAGCTTTGAAAAAATCACAGTTGGCCCTCCACTCGTTGAGCTTGCACATACTGTCATTGACGACCTGAGTACTGACCAGTACTATGGTTACTTGATTTGCAGTGCCATCAAAACTGGGGTCATGCCTGATAGACTTGCTTACCTGCAGATAGGTCCAGTCTCACATTCTAGGTGGCTCACAACGGCTCTCAGGTTCTGCAGAATTTGGGTCGCTCATCATAAACGGAAAGGGAACCAGCTTCACAACCTGAGACTTATTGTCCAATTCATCGTGAGTGTCTACTTGCCAAATTGGTTCAACACCAAGGTCAAGTCATCGTTCTTCGAAGGTCCGAGGCATGTTCTCTTCCAGCTTGAGCTCCTGAGGAGTCAGCCAAGGAAGGTTGTTCAGATTGTGGAGCAGACTGTGAGATCTTCCTGGTATGCTCATCCCGAGGCAGTTCTGCAGACAATGCTCTGCAGTAAGGATGAGGAGGAGAGAAGAGTGGCAGTCAAAAAGATCTTGGATATGAGATTTATGAGAGGATCTGGGCATGACGAATCAGTTGGTGACGATTCCTTCAGGGTCAGGAAGACTCCTGAAGTCAATCTAGGTGCCAAGACCCTCACTGATCTCATAGATCTGGATAGCATCCAGGCTGGCAGTGAGCCCCCCTCTACACTTCCGCAGCCTCACCAATGTTCAAGTCAGAGCTTTCCTGGACAACCCCACATGCATGTCCCTGCCTGGCCCTCGCACACCCAGAGTATAGAGCGTTGTGTACAGCAAGTGAGCGAGGCCAGCCAGGAGAGGAGGGAAGGCTACATCCGAGCTCAGGTGGTCAGCAGGGAGGTGATGAGTAGAAACAGAAGCAAGAAAGACATGTTCTCTATGGTGTGCAGCAACACCGGGTCGTAGTAGTAAAACCGGTTTTTGTATTTGATGATTTTTTTTTCTAAAGGAATATTAAATTTAATAAATGTGTCAAGATCATTCGTTTCACTATTCTGGATCATTTTCATCCTAATAAATTAACCTGATACATTTACTTTACTTTAAATAAGCTATTTAGTGGTGTTGGTAAAAGGGTGGGAATTTACCTAGCAAAAAATGAAAACTCTTCAAATCTGAAGATATCACATGATTCTGCACATAGAAATACATCATTAATACCATGGGCCGAATTTTCAAACTAAAAAAAAAAAAAATCGCCTCCGTATGACACACCCTAGTGTGGCACTCTCTCCTGTGTGGTAAGTGACGTGGTGTGTGGCGCTCTCTCCTGCGTTGTAAGTGACGTGGTGTGTGACACTCTCACCTGTGTGGTAAGTGCCATGATGTGTGGCACTCTCACCTGTGTGGTAAGTGCCGTGGTGTGTGGCATCCAATCCTGTGTGGTAAGTGACATGGTGTGTGATAGTCTCACCTGTGTGGTAAGTGACGTCTTGTGTGGCACACTCTCACCTGAGTGGTAAGTAACGTGGTGTGTGGCACTCTCACCTGTGTGGTAAGCGACATGGTGTGTGACACTCTCTCCTGTGTGGTAAGTGACGTGGTGTTTGGCACTTTCACCTGTGTGGTAAGTCACGTGGTGTGTGATACTTTCCATATGTGGTAAGTGTCGTGGTGTGTGGCACTCTCTCATGTGTGGTACTTTCATTGTGTGGTAAGCGACGTGGTGTGTGGTACTTTAATTGTGTGGTAAGTGACGTGGTGTGTGGTACACTCTCACCTGTGTGGTAAGTGACATGGTGTGTACACTCTCTCCTGTGTGGTAAGTGACGTGAAGTAGAGCTCATATGTGTAAGTGAATGTGGTGGTGCACTCTCCCTGTGGTAAGTGGACGTGGCATGGCACTTTCATTGTACAGGCGACGTGGTGTGCAGTACACTCCTGTGTGGTAAGTGACGTGGTGAGTGGCACTTTCACCTGTGTGGTAAGTGACGTGGTGTGTGGCACTTTCACCCGTAAGGACGTGGTGTGTGGCACTTCACCCGTGGTAAATAACGTTGTGTGTGGCACTCTCTCCTGTATGGTAAGTGACATGGTGTGTGGCACTTTCAATGTGTGGTAAGTGACGTGGTGTGTAGCACATTCTTACCTGCGTGGTAAGTGACGTGGTGTGTGGCACTCTCTCAAGTGTGGTAAGTGACGTGGTTTGTGGTACTTTCATTATGTTGTAAGTGATATGGTGTGAAGCACACTCTCACATGTGTGCTAAGTGACGTGGTGTGTGACACTCTCTCCAGTGTGGTAAGTGACGTGGTGTGTGGCACTTTCACCTGAGTGGTAAGTGACGTGGTGTGTGGCTCTCTTACCTGTGTCGTAAGTGGCGTGGTGTTTGGCACTCTCACCTGTGTGGTAAGTGACGTAGTGTGTTACACTCTCACCTGTGTGCTAAGTGACGTAGTGTATAACACTCTTACCTGTGTGGTAAGTGACGTGGTGTGTGGCACTGTCACATGTGTGGTAAGTGATGTGGTGGGTGGCACTCTCACCTGTGTGGTAAGTGACGTTGTGTGTGGTACTCTCTTCTGTATGGTAAGTGACGTGGTTTGTGGCACTCTCACCTGTGTGGTAAGTGACGTTTTGTGTGGCACTCTCTCCTGTGTGGTAAGTGATGTGGTGTGTGATACTTTCCATATGTGGTAAGTGACGTGGTGTGTACCCTCTCTCCTGTGTGGTAAGTGACGTGGTATGTGGTACTTTCATTGTGTTGTAAGTGACGTTTTGCGTGGCACTCTCTCCTGTGTGGTAAGTGACGTGGTGTGGCACACTCTCCAGTGTGGTAAGTGACGTGGTGTGTGGCACACTCTCCAGTGTGGTAAGTGACGTGGTGTGTGGCACTCTCTCTTGTGTGGTAAGTGACGTGGTGTGTGGCACACTCTCCAGTGTGGTAAGTGCCGTGGTATGTGACACTCTTTCCTGTGTGGTAAGTGACGTGGTGAAATCGTATCTCAATAATAGTATCTCATGAATATTATTCACCCTAACGTAATTCACCTGCATATTAACCCTAATGCTAAACCTAACTTAACCTAACCTCACAGGTGGCTTTTGGTTGGGTACTCTTCAACTGAAATAATCTTAGGTTTCTAATCTTCAGGTGATCGAAAAAAAGATTATATCCATTGGTGTGGAGTACTGTAAGCCACACCTCTCTATCATCACAGTGTGGCGTACTGTAAGCCATACCTCTCTGTCATCACGGTGTGGAGTACTGTAAGCCACACCTCTCTATCATTACAGTGTGGAGTACTGTAAGCCACACCTATAGTTATATTGGGTTCCTTCAGCCACACGGGACTTGATGAAGGATGTTGCTGGGGGTTTTTTTCATCCCTGTTTCTCCATCCTCCTTCATGTCGAATCTTTCGTTCTCCCTCACATCGCGTCTTCCCTTCCCTACAGGTGTACGAGAAGGAAGATTCCTCTACACAAATGTTCCTCAGTCACTCTGGTATTCACTTGCTGGTGCTTCATCCTACACGAGGAGACGTGATGCTCGCCATGCAGTTCCTCACCCACCAGCCCGCGGAGCACCGCAACCTGGCAGCCTGTCTCCGTACTCTCATGCCTGGCCGTCTCCTAGTGGTAGCTGCTGTGGTCAGTATTACTTCAATTTGAGGGGCCGTTAAACAGATAGGCAGACATACAGAGAGAAAGACATTCGGTTAAATCGGCATATAATTTTACATTTGTTTCTGGAAGTCCTTTAAATAATACCGATATACAGTTCAGCATGTACATAGACAGTAATCCACAACCACACAGGGGCAGGTCATGGCCTCGACGTCTCACGGGAGTACAGGTACTAATACACATCATAACACACACTCTCTCACAGCCCGACGCCGCGACGTTTCTGGCCGAGGATGCCGTGTTGGGTCTGGAGGCTATGGGAGCTTCTAGGATACGTAACCTCGCGGCCTTCGAGGCTTGGGCCATAGTAACCCACACGCCCACCAGTACCCACACGCCCTCCCTACGCGACTACATGCCTTCCCACTCCTACACGTCTTCCAACAACAGAAGTAATAACAGCACTGGTCCTTCAAGACACCCACAGGAAGAAACATCTCCCTCACAGGTCAACAACCAAGAGGTTTTACATACTTATTACTCATATGGTATAATAATCCCCCGACGGTATATAAACTTTGTATAAATAAGCGATAAAGTCTTCAACTCTTCCTCTGCATTTTATATTGGTGTTACAGGAGGTCTCGCGAGGTCGGGTGTGGGGCGAGGCCGTGACCACCATCCGTAGACCAGACGGTATATTCGGTTATCCGCTCAGTATGGATACCCGCGTCCCCAAAGTGTCAGGTAAGTGCTTAGTACTGTTCTATATTTCTCGTTTGGTGACGCGTCTTTTGTGTGTGTATGTGTGTGTGTGTGCGCGTGTGTGTGTGTGTGTGTGTGTGTTTGTGTGTCTGTGTGTGTGTACGCCTCACAGGTTATTCGCGTCTCAAATATCATCACAAAGTTTGCAGACACGACAATTTTCGATAATTATTTGAGATTAAAAAATACTATTTTATCATTGTTTAATTCTCATAATCAAAACACATAGAACGTCAAACTTTGATATAAAGGAATGAGAAATAACAAGTACTCATAGAACACAAAAATATATAAATAAATAAATAAGTAAATACTTACCTTAAATTATACGTAGTTCATTATCATCGTCAGTAATGGGTTCAGCAGAAACGTGAATTATAAACTGTATCCTCGTCAATACAGATCA